GCCTAGCTACCACTGTCCCTCACACAGACAATGGCTGCGTCTCACAAAGGTGTGGCCGCCTCCACCCTAAACACCACTTTTCCTCAGTTCTTTAGGTCTTGTCAAGCCATGGCTCTTGTCTCACTGCTCATAAAAAGCAAGAGGACAGTGGCCTTATGAGCTCGCCACATTGGGAGCCTCCTCTCTGACTCTGTCTTACTTTTCCAACCCCTCACTTCTTCTCTTGCCACACCGACCTTGCCTCTGCCTCAGGACCTTTGCACCGCCTGTTTATCTGCCCAACGTTCTCCCAGACGTGGGCTTGTTTACTCACCCAATCCACCTTTACCTGCTTTATGTCACTACAAGGCAGCCTTATCCTATCACCTTCATAATTCAACAAGACTTTTACCCCCTTTTCTAATTCTGGTGATTGATATTTAATTTTATTATTTATTTATTTATGTGCTTGCTTATTTGTTTGTTTATGGTCTCCCCCCGCCCCCCATAGGGTTTCTCTATGTAACAGCTCTTGCTGTCCTGGAACTCACTCTGTAGACTAGGTTGGCTTTGAACTCAGAGATCCTCCTGTCTCTGCCTCCCAAGTGCTGGGATCACAGGCATGTACTACATGCTCAGTTTATGTGGTGTTGGGGACGGAACCCAGCCCAATTGGCTTGTCTGGCTGCAGACGGCTGAGCAGCAGCCCCTCTGTGCCCCATCCCTGGACGGCAAGTACCTTCAGTTCCAGGGTGCTCTTTTCCGTCGGCCTGCGCCTCATCAGCCTTGGCTTCGGGGCCATCACTGGACACAGGTGCATTGGGCTCTGGGGCAGGGCTGGAGTTGCTGCTGTTCTCCTGTTTGATGGGGGAGGCGTCGGCTATGGAGCTCTGGTTGCTGTTATCGTCTGCACAGGAACAGAACGCAGGTTGACATGCTATCGCTGCTGGAGAGAGGGGAGTGGGAGCTTGCATGTGTGTGGCTGGGGCTCAGCCTTCCTATGCCTCACTGCCTTTGGCCTCATAGCCTGTGAGGCCAGGGAGTCTCAGAGCTAGCCTGATTGCCCCCTCTCAACACCTCCCCCACAGCCCCTGGCTAACTAAGGAGGTCCCTGTGTCTGGAGCGTGCCAGAGAGAGATGGTGGCAGATTGGAAAGAGCTAGAGGCTGGACGGACCAGACAAAACAGTGAGTGCTCCTTGCCTTGACAGGCCCACAGCGGCTGATGAAGGCACACAGTAGCTTTAGCTGCTTGAAGATCAAGCCAGTCAACATTTCAGCACGAAAGGAGGGGAGAGTCTGTTTTCTCTAAGGGTGTTGCTCTTGGTAGGCTGACCATGCTTCAGTGGACTGGGCCACACCCATGGATATATGAGCAAGACGAATTCGATTCAGTAGGTTATCAAAAAAACCGAGGACACACACAGGACTAGAGAGGTAGCTCAGCAGAACCCTGGCTGCTCTTGCAGAGGATGCAGGCTTGGCTGCCAGCATCCACACGGTGGCTCATAAACATCCATAACTCCAGTTCCAGGGGCTCTGACCCTCTACTGGCCTCCATACGTGAAATAAAAATAAATAAATCTTTTTTCTTTAGACATGGTTTCACTATGTAGCCCTGGCAGTCCTGGAACTTGCTATGTAGACCAGGCGGCCCTCAAACTCAGAGATCCACCTGCCTCTGCCCCTCAAACGCTGGGATTAAATGTGTGCGCCACCATGCCCAGATAAAATAATTAATCTTGCTAGGTGGTGGTGCACACCTTTGATCCCAGCACTTGGGAGGTAGAGGAAGGCGTATCTCTGTGAGTTTGAGACCAGCCTGGTCTACAGAGCGAGATCCGGGACAGCAAAGGCTACAGAGAGAAACCCTGTCTTGAAAAAAATGAAAAGAAATTTTTTTTTTTTTTTAAAATATGGGAACAGGGGCTGGAGAGATGGCTCAGCGATTAAGAACACTGGCTGCTCTTCCAGAGGACCTGAGTTCAATTCCCAGCACCCACATGGCAGCTTACAAGTGTCTGTAACTCCGGTTCCAGGGGATCTGACACCTTCACACCAATGCACATAAAATAAAGTTAAACAGATTATTTAAAAAATAAATAAATGAATAAATAAATATGGGAACAGGGAAGACAGGAAGATGGGAGGGGATGGAGTGGGTCTGGGAGATCTTATGGGGTGAATATGATCAAAATACATTGTATACATATATCAAATTCGCAAAGAATAAAAATATTGAATCATAAAAAAACTTTGGGGTCCATGAGGCTTAATTCTGGGTGGAGAAAACCAGATACTTTGTGTATCAAGCCATGAAGTAGTATTACAACATTCCACCTCATTTCCTGAAGCTCCAGACTGGATTCCTGTTGATGCAAAATAACAAGGGGAGCCAGGCATGGGGGCACGTGCCTAAGTTCCAGCACAGGGTAGGCAGAGGCAGGTGGATCTCTGTGAGTTCCAGGTCAGACAGGCAGGGGCTATGTAGAGGTAGCAAGAGCACCAGAAATCATTACTTTATTTATTTACTAGAAATTAATCATTACTTTATTTAATAATTTCCGATGTGTATGTGTGTACCTGCGGGTAATTCTGTGCACCATCGCACAAAGGTGCTTGTGGAAGGCAGAAAAGTTCCCCTAAAACGGGCTGACAGGTGGCTTCGACGTGGTGCTGGAAACAAAACCCAGGTCCTCTACAGGAAGTGCTTTTACCCATTCATCCATCTCTCCAACCCCGGGAATCATTTTTATAAGATTTATTTTAAAAATTGCCGGGCGGTGGTGGCGCACGCCTTTAATCCCAGCACTCGGGAGGCAGAGCCAGGCGGATCTCTGTGAGTTCGAGGCCAGCCTGGGCTACCAAGCGAGTCCCAGGAAAGGCGCAAAGCTACACAGAGAAACCCTGTCTCGAAAAACCAAAAAAAATAAAAAATAAAAAAAAAATAAAAATTGTCTTGCTTTTTGAGACAAGGTTTCTCTGTGTAACAGCCCTGGCTATCCTGGAACTCACTCTGTAGACCAGGCTGGCCTCAAACTCAGAGATCTGTCTGCCTCTGCCTCCTAAGTGCTGGGATTAAAGGTGTGTGCCACCACCGCCGCACAGCCCTTATCAGAATTGATGTGGTGTGTGGGTGTGTACACATGGGTGGAGGTGCGGTTGGAGGCTTTGGACCCCCTGACTAGTGCTGGGAACTGAACCCGGGTCCTCTAGAAGAGCATCAAGTGCTCTTAACCACTTGAACCATCTCTCTAGCCTCACCCACAAAATTTTTAAAATTAATTTATGTGGATGGACGTTTTGCTTACATGCATGTCTGCATCACATGCATGGCCCGGCACCCACGGGTGCCAGAACAGGGCATTGGCTCTCTTGGGTTTGGCATTACAGATGGCTGTGAACCACCATTTAGGTACTCGGAATTGAACCTGGGTTATCTAGGAGCGACTAATAAATACTCTTTACCACTGAGCCATCTCCCCAGCTCCCACCCTAACCTCACCAATAACTTTTAAAAAGCATTGCTTTATGGCCAGACATGGTAGCACATGCCTTTAACCCTGGCACTCAAGGCAGAGGCAGAAAGCTCTCTTGAGTTCCAGGCCAGCCAAGGCTGCCTGCCTAGTAAGATCCTGTCCCCAAAACAAACAAAAAGTGTTTATGCACTTATTATTTATTTTTCGAGACAGGGTTTCTCTGTGTAGTTTTGGTGCCTGTCCTGGATCTCGCTCTGTAGCCCAGGCTGGCCTCGAACTCACAGAGATCCTCCTGGCTCTGCCTCCCGAGTGCTGGGATTAAAGGCGTGCGCCACTGCCACCGCCGCCCGGCCAGCACTTATTTATTTTGGTGTGTAATACATTTTGTGTGCAGGGGCACACACCTGTGTGGGGGTCAGAGAACAGTCTGGCATTTACAGATTTTCCCAGAATCTGACCTTGGGTCTTCAGGCTTTCCCTGAAAGTGCTTTTACATACTAAGCTATTTCCCTGGCCCAGAAACCAATTTGAAAAGAGGACTGGAATATGCTCATGGTAAAATCCTTTCCTAACTTCCTAATGCCCTGGGTCCTGTCCCCATCACGGAGGGACCAAAAAGCCAAAAAAAGAAAGGAAGGAGAAATGGGGAAGAATACTAAAGATTAAGGAAATGTAAGAGACCTAGCCAGTAAGTACGACGTGTGCCATAATTGAATCTAATTTGGAACGCGCCAGCTATAACACATTTTGGAACAATTGGGAAATTTGCATATGGTCTGGATTCTTAAAGTTATTAAGGGATTATTGTTAATTTTGTGAGGAGAGATAATGGCACAGTGGGTCTGGGTTAATGTCACCCTTTGGCAACGTATTCTGAAATGGGTAGGTACAGATTAAACATGGCTAGGTGGGGAAACGTACTGCAGCTCCAACTGTAGACAACTGTCAGGGCTCCACAGACTTCATACCCAAGAGACATGTGTCTTTTATGCAAATTAAAAGTCAATCACAAACAAAACATTAAAAAACACGCGGCAAATATGGCCTAGTGTTCATAAAAACCGAAGCAGGGAGTCGATGGGGTTTATCACACCATGTTTTTGCTTTTTTCTTTCTTTTCTTTTTCTTTTTTGTTTTTTTGTTTTTGTTTGTTTTTTCAAGACAAGGTTTCTCCGAGTAGCTTTGGAGCCTATCCTGGAACTGGCTCTGTAGACCAGGCTGGCCTCGAACTCACAGAGATCCACCTGGCTCTGCCTCCCGAGTGCTGGGATTAAAGGTGTGCATCACCGTGTTTTCTCTACAATGAGACTGATGAAGATGAGAGGTAATGGGGCAGTGGTATTAATGCTTCAGGTGGAGACAGATCTGGGACCCAGGGTATACCTCCCCTTATCCTGAACCCCCTTCATGGGTACAGTCATTTTAATTTTTAATTTTTATAGAGAGGGGTTGGGGATTTAGCTTAGTGGTAGAGCACGTGCCTATTGCACAAGGCCCTGGGTTCTGTCCTCACCTCTGGAAAAAAAAAAAAGACAAAATTTTTATAGGGAAAAGCATAAATGCATCCCCAACTCCCACAAATTACACAGTTGAGTTCCCACACTGGGGAGAATCACAGGGGTCATGTGTGAATCAGCAAATCCCAAGTGTAATGGAGGAACCTCGCCCTTGGAAACCACCTTCCGGGCCATGACCCCCTCTGCCAGGTAATTATGATACAGTCATTTTAGACCGGAGATACCCAAGGAGCGATCTTATAGAAACACTCTATCACATGGCAGCTCATGCTTATAATCCTAGTACTCAGGAGCAGAGCCAGGAGGATTACTGAAAATTTGAGATCATCCTGCTCTACATAGTGAGTTCAGGCCAGCAAGGACTTCAAATTGACAGTCTTGCCGGGCGGTGGTGGTGCACGCCTTTAATCCCAGCACTCGGGAGGCAGAGCCAGGTGGATCTCTGTGAGTTCGAGGCCAGCCTGGTCTACAGAGCAAGATCCAGGATAGGCTGGCTCTAAAGCTACACAGAGAAACCCTGTCTTGAAAAACAACAACAAAACAAATTGACAGTCTCAAACAAGATAAACAGCACTATAATCTGAGGCTGTCTTTGTGGGCGGTGCTGTGTGTGTAGGGCCTTGTAAAAAGGAGGAGGGCAGAGGCACTCCAAGAGCTCTGGGTACCTACTATGTGTCATGCTCTGAGAAAGAGCATTTACAATTATCCCGTTATGTTCTGAAAACAAGGCCTTGCCATGTGGTCCAGGCTAGCCCCAAACTCATAGTTTTGAGCAATCCTCTGGCTTCAGCTTCCAGGGAGTTGGGGACTACAGGTGCGCTCCCATGCCCAGACACTGCATTCACTTAACAACCCACTCATGGCACCTACCTACCTACCTACCTACCTACCTACCTGATATTGCTACCAAAATTCGTACAGATGGGAGAATTGACCCCTCAGATCTATCTGTTGTTTTTTGGTTTTTGTTTAAGACAGAGTCTCATGTAGCTCATGCTGGCCTCGGGAGACACTGAGGATGACCTTGAACTCCAGCCCTCTTCCCTCTATCTCACCAGGGCTGGGATTACAGATGTGTGCCTCCCATCTGATGTAGACCAACTCTCAACTCCTAGCCTCCCCTTTCCCTCACCTGGAGGAGCACCAGGCAGTCACACAGCCCAGCGGATCTCATGTAACTATACTCTGGAATGCTAGTTACATAAAAGCATTCTCTTGTGAATATGTGTTCTCCTCATTTACCTGCGAGAAAGTCTAAATTTCCCTGGGTCAAGACCCAAACGTGATGGAAATTCTGTTAATAATGACCGTGAGCATTAATGTCCAACCAGGCCGATGCTGGGGCCCGGACCTGGGAACCGTGGTCCACAGCTGACATGGCCGAATCTGTAGATTACAGACACCAGTGTGGGTGACCTCCACAGCTCCTGCTGGGCCCCTTCCCCACCTTCTGGAAACACTCTTGCCAGGCCCACCACATCTGTCCCCAAGCCTTCGCGCTTGGCCACCCCTGCCTTGGTCTTGGTCGTTCATGAGCTAAAATGAAAACGATGGGGGGGGCGGGTGAATATGTTCCTTATGTCCAGGAGCTGACTCTTTCCCCATCGGTCCAGGCAGCAAGTCTAGATTTTGTCCACAAAGGCTCTCACATGTCAACTCTAGCATTGGAAGTTATCAGCTTGCTAATGGGGTGAGTTGACACCCCCACCCCCCCCCCACCCCCCCCACCCCCCCCCCCCACCCCCCCCCCGCCATGTGAGATGAGCCTTGTTGTTACCAGACGCTTGGCACATTGTGACTGGCTTCATAAATGGTAGCTGTTAACATGCCAAGGCTCTTCGGAGATTGTCTCCTCTAATGCCCACAAGGACTTCATGTAGCAGGCATTGCCACCGCATTCTACAGGTTAAAACCAACCAGGGGGCTAGAGGTTACATCGCTAACTCGAAACGACACAGTTCGGGAGGTCCTGGAAAAGTCAGTGAGGGGCTGCTTCGGAATGGCAGGGAACCGGGCCATATTCCATCTCTCACCCCGAAAAGGAAATACACTCTAGCCTTGAGCTTGGTACTTATGATGACCTTGAACTTCCGAGATTACAGACCTGTACCCCTAGACCCGGTTTACACGGTACTAGGGATAGGACCCAGAGCTTTGTGCAAGCCAGGTGATCACTCGGTCAATGGAACCACACCCCAACCCTAGTTTTGTTGTTTTGTTTGAGACGTAGTCTCACGTAGCCCAGCCTCAAACTCCTGATCCCTCTGCCTCCATCTCTGGAGAGCTAGGATTACAGACCTGTGCTGCCACTACATTCTGGGATCTCGGGTCTTTCTTTGCTTGTTAACAGGGCTTCTCTGTGTAGCTTTGGAGCCTATCCTGGAACTCGCTTTGTAGACCAGGCTGGCCTTGAACTCAAAGATCCACCTGCCTCTGCCTCCCAAGTGCTGGGATTAAAGGTGTGTGCCACCACCGCCCAGCTGGGCATTTTCTTAATTAGTGACTGATGTGGGAGGGCCCAACCCACCGTGGATGCTGCCACCCCTAGACTGGTGGTTCTGGGTTCTGTAAAAAAGCAGGCTGAGCAAGCCAGGAGGAGCAAGCCTAAGTAGCACCCCTCCATGGCCTCTGCATCAGCTCCTGCCTCCAGGTTCCTGCCCTACTTGAGTTCCTGTCCTGACTTCCTTCGATGATGAACAGCAACGTGGCAGTGTAAGCTGAATAAACCCTTTCCTCCCCAGCTTGCTTTGTGGTCATGTGTTTATCATAGCAATAGTAACCCTAACTAAAACACCAGTGTACTTATTGCCTCTGCCTGGATTCTCAGGATGAGGCAGGCTCTGTCTGAGGGCATGAGCAACTTCAGCGAGTCACTATTCCTTTTTGACTTCAACTAATCTACTGGATACCACCTTGTACAAAAGGTTTAGAACGGCCAAGAGTACGCACACATGCATGGGCCATCGAGATGGCTCGGTGGGAAAAGGTGCTGCTGGTCACCAAGCTTGACGACCTGAGTTCGATCCCTGGAACCTACTTGGTGGAAGGAGAGAACTGCCTCCCACAAGCTGTCCTCTGACACTGTAGTACTCCTACGTCTCCCCAACTCACACACAAAATAAATAGATGCAATAAAAAAACTTCGAAAGTCAAAACATTAAAATCAAGATCAGGAGTTGGATGCGTATCTAGTACCTGGGAGCCAGAGACACAAGATCACTACAAGTCTGAGGATAGCCTGGGCTACATAATACATTTTCGACCAGCCTGGGCTATAGAGCGAAATACTGTCTCAAAAAACAAACAAACATTTCCCAATACAGGGCTGGCAAAATGGCTCAGTAAGGTAAAAGGTGCTTGCCACCAAGCCTGGGGACCTGAGTTCAATCCTCGGGACCCACGGGGTGGAGGGAAAGATAGGACCCCCACAAGATGTCCTCTGACTTCCACATGTGTGCCACAGCATGTGCACATATACTAAGTAAATGTATGGGGTGTAGTGGCACATGGTTTTAATCCCAGTACTCGGGAGGTAGAGGTAGTTAGATGTGTGAGTTTGAGGCCAGCCTGCTCTACACAATGAGTTCCAGGCCAGCCAGGGCTACACAGTGAGACATTGTCCTCCAAAACAAAAAAACAAAACAAAACAAACAATAAATAAACTAAGGAGAGAGAGAGAGAGAGAGGAGGGAGGGAGAGAGGGAGTGAAGGAGGGAAGAAAGAGGTGGGGAGGGGAGAGAAGTACTGTAGATTCTGGAAGGGTGGGGCCAACCTGGAGACAGAACGGGGTGGCCAGGGGGGACTAGAGCGTCCATGTCTCCCCTAAGGGATGATCGTTGTTCCTGTCGCAGCCAGCTGCTTCCAGCGCAGCAACATCTGACTTCTCCAACAACAGCAGTAAAGCAGGTTTTCTGATTTACAAATACCAAACGCCGCTATATGGTTTGAATCTTAAATGTCCCCAAAGGCCCATGTGTTAAAGGCTAAATCCTCAGCTTGGTACAGTCGGGAGGCAGTAGAAACTTTAAGCGGTGGGGCCTAGGGGGAGGTCTTCTGGCCACTGAAGGGGTCCCCTTGGCCCCCTTGGTTTTGAGATGCGGTTTCACTCTATAGCCCAGGCTGGCCTAGAATTCACTATGTAGGCCAGGCTGTGATCTTCCTGTCTCTACCTCCTGAAGACTGGGACTATAGGCACGCATCTCCAAGGAAGCCTACTCCGCTTCCTCTTTGGCCAGCGGGCAGCTTTCTCTACCTCGCTGCTCCTGCCATGATGTGCTAGCCCACCAGAGGCCCCAAAACAACAGCATCAACTGAACAGACTCAGCCTCTGATGCCGGAAGCCCGAGCAAACCTTTCCTCTTTCAAACTGCAGCATCTCAAGCATTTTGTTATAGTGACAGACACCGAATCATCTCCCACCAAAACTTCAGGTTGGGATGTCTACAATGGCTCTCCTCCTAGGGATGGGGCAAGCGGGAAGAGGGTTAGAGAGGCCTGTCGGGACAGGCGGTGCACATCTTGTGCTTTGGACTGGGCTGGCTATGAGGCGTGTGCATTTTATGGACATTTCAACGGAGCCATAGGACTGTGATTTGAGCCTTTCCTCTCAATAAGGTGAGAGAGAGAGACAGACAGACAAGGTGAAGACAGGAGACTGGCTACATCACGGCCCCAGCCTCACCCTGACAGATAGGACGAACACACATCACAACTTCTAAAAATCAGACAGCCAAGGAAGTTAGGCTATCAAGAGAGGGCAGTGCCCGGGTTCCTACGGTGACCACGATCTACTCAGAAACCCATTCTGGAGTTCCCCAAGAGCAAAGCAAAAACGGAGAGTGGGAAATACAATCATGGGTCTGGCACATCACACACACACCCCCCTCCCAAATCTTCCTGGGTGGGCAGGGCTGCTGGGATCGTCTGTGAGACTGTGTCCCTGGGTGAGGAAAGGGTGTGATTTCTGTTTCTGTTTTGTTTCTTGGCTAGGTATGCCCGGGAAAGAAATGTCTCCTCTGAAGAGCTCCTCCTTGGCACGGAGGCCTGGCAGTCTCGCCCAGCCCTCCTACCCTTTGCCTGGAATGTGAACAAACCAGCTAGAGAAACAAAAACACAACTCAGGGCTTCCTGAGGCCCGGGCACGGAAGCCCGCTGTGGTGGGGCTCACCGTGCATGTCCATCATCCCTGGTGACGAGCTGTCCTCTGGAGTAGTCACCTCTGAGCCACACTTTTCATCCTTGCCTTTCTTCTTATTCTTGTTTTTCTAGAGGAGAAACATGGAGCAGAAATCCAGTCAGTCAATCACGTATGTGTGTGTGTGTGTTTGTGTGTGTGTGTGTGTGTGTGTGTATGTGCACGCGCGCGAGTACACAAGCAGCCGCGGGGAGTGGCATGAATATTTAATTCCATCCGTCAGAGTCCCCAAGCCTTGGCAGGTTGTCTTGGCCTGCATTTGAATGAGGCCCACAAGGTGTTCCGCGCCCACCTTGGCATCAAAGCGTCTCACCGAGGGAAGGATTTTGAGACATCGTCTCACGTGTCTGTGGGGCTGTCACCTGCAGGCAGGCCAACACCCTGGCTAGTGAGAACGTCTTCTTCTGGAGGGAGAAACTCTGGGCAAGGTCGTGGTGACTGTCATGCTGGCCAGGGCAGGTATGGCCATGGCAAAGACATGGGTCACTCTTGAGCCCCTTAGGGACTGCCTTTCTCAAAGTGTTGGGAAGGATGGAAAATTCAAAGAGGCAGTGGGGAATGGAGAAGATGCTTTTGGGGTGCTGGGGATCAACCCCAGAGCCTCATACATACCAGATGAGTGCTCTGAGGGTGAGCCACACCCACAGTTCTCAAGGAAACAGAATCATTTTGGTTTCTATAAGTGATGGTAAAAAACTCCTAAAGTAAATCACAGACGATCTGATGGTTCAATGCAACCATTACAGAGACTAAGGTGGCTCTCTTTGGATTTTAATCAGAAAGATCTGTGAGGCATGAACATGTTAAAATACCTCAATATTCCCAAGACAAAGAGGGGCAGAGCATGCAGCTGCCAGCACTGGTGGGGTGTGTTGAGGGGACTGCCCCTATGTGCACACTAGTGAGCATGGACACTCTGGAAGGGTAAAAGTAGATGTACTGTTACCTACAGGGAGGTAAACTCAAGAGGGGGTGTGTGTGTATGCAGGTGGCAGATTTAGGAAGAGGTAAGCGGCAAAATTAATATTTAAATAGGTCTGGAGAGATGGCCCAGCTGTTAAGGACACTGGCTGCTCCTGCAGAGGACCCAAGTTCAGTTCCCAGCACCCATATAGTGGCTCACAATCGGCTGTAACTCTAGTTCCAGGAGATCCAATGCCCTCTTCTGGTCTCTGAGGGAACTGCATGCATGGGGTGCACATACATGCATGCAGACAAAACATTCATACACGTTAAGAAATAAGCCATTTTCTTTTAAACTAACATTTAAAGAAAATACAAATGAACAGAGGCAGAACATACATATGATTACTGGTGGCATGGGGAGTAACTGCTAACGGGTACTGATGAAAATGGTATAGAATTACTAATTTTTTTTTTTCCGAGACAGGGTGTCTCCGCGTAGCTTTGGAGCCTGTCCTGGAACTCACTTTGTAGACCAGGCTGGCCTCGAACTCACAGAGATCCACCTGCCTCTGCCTCCCGAGCACTGGGATTAAAGGCGTGCGCCACCAATGGCCCACAAGAATTACTGATTTTTACATTATATTTTACTTGTATGTGTGTGCAGGGGGTAGAGTGGGGGAGGTTGCCCAGTGCATAGGCAAAGATCAGAGGCAACTTTCCAGAATTGGTTCTCTCGTTCTACCATGGGACTTCCAGGGATCAAACTCAGGTTATCAGGCGTGGTGGCAACGGCCTTTACTACTAGGCCATTATAGACACTTCCAATCCCAGCATCGTGTGGTTTGAAGAACACAGAGCACACACACACTAGGCAAACATTCTACCACGGAGCTGCACCCTCAAAGCAAAATTCACCCTTTCAAAGAATGCACTTCGGCCTGCAATCCTAGCATGACTGAGACAGAGGAGAGTGAATTCGAGACCAGTCTGGGCTGTATAGCAAGACCCTGTCTCAGAAAACATAAAATAAAACGAAACAATGAGAGCGCACTTCAGAGGTAGCAGGGCCATAGTCATTCAAATTTCTCGGCTAGAATTCTGGAACAGGAGCCCGTGAGTGGGCTCAGCAGGAAAGGCATGTGACTGTCAAGCCCGAAGACCTAAGCTGCATCCCTGGAACCCACACGGTAGAGAGAACGGACCCCCACAGATTGTCTCCTCACTTCCACTTACATGCCATGGTACATGCATGCATGACACATACACACAAAACAAATAAAAAGAAAGTAACATCTGAATTTTGACAACTGTTCTGCTTATTAGAAAGAACAAAAACTTCAAAAATATTGTTTATTAAAAAAAAAAGATGGTATAACTGTGTCCTTATTGAGTATTTTCTTTTCTTTTCCTGTTTTTATTTTTTGAGACAGGAGTTCTCTGTTTAGCCCCGGCTGTCCTGGAACTAGCTCTGTAGACCAGTAGCTTTCCAAGTGCCAGGATTAAAATTGTGCGCCACCACTGCCCAGCTCCTAATTGAGAATTTTTTAAAACCATAAAGCTGACCCCACCCCCGACCCCATGCAGATTCCTGGCTGTCTGGAGATTCTAACATAGCTGTCTGGGGTAGGGCCCAGGAATCTGCATCTTACCCAGATGCTCAGCCCTAGAGAAAGAGGGATTAGGCAGCACCCGGCTGTCATGGCTCAGAGGGACTGAAAGGGACTCAGCATTTCTGGAACCCTATGCTAGGCCAGGTATTCTCCAGGGAACACAGTGCACATTCTGGGTACAGAAACCACAAGCTAGGTATGAGGTATGGCTCCTCTACACAGGGAAGAGGGCAGGAGGCCCCACGGTGAGGTGATGCATCCAGCCTCACAGGTTAGCCAGGGCTTGTCTGACTCCATCTATAGCCAGTGTGCTTTGCCCAGTCGGAGCTGTCCCATCCTTCCCATATATTACACGTTCCCCTTGATCATACTCCACTTGGCACCTCCCTGATGTCTGCTTCCTGCTAGTCTATAATTACCTTCCCCCAATGAGATCAGAAATTCCTTGAGAGCAGGGACCACGTCTCCTCAGACACAGCCAGCATTTCTATATCACCTAATGATGTGCAAGGCCCAGGCAGGGGCTGGAGCCAGGAACTGCCTCCGAGGACCAGGGACACCCTGCTCTTTGTCCAGTTACAGGTGGACAGGCCAAGCCTTGGTCCCTTATGGTAAGAGGGGGCTTGGTGGTTTCAGAAACCCTGGTCAAAATGAGAAGGGTTGCCAGTTACCTAAGTTCCCAGCCTGGTACCAATTGTGTGTGTGTCCATCTGTGTCCGTCCGTTCCTGTGCCGCCACCCCCGCCCCCTCCTCGAGAGCTCAAGGAGCAGGTTATTTATTGAAGATGGGTCAAAGAGGCAAGTCCCTTGGAAGGGAAGCTTAGCCTCCGTCTTTACCGAGGAAGCTGCTGCTGCCCCATAACAAAACTTATCAACCATGGCCATGTTGCTCTCAGAAGCAGTTGGGGCCAAGCTCTCGTCCTCCCAGAGGAGGGCACCAAGTATGGGTAACCCGGGCAGGGGCAGGCATGGAAAAGACCAGTAGTACAAAGGTCTTTTGGTGGGAAGTGGGTTGGTTGCTTGTAAGCATCCTTCTCCAGGACACAGCATGGCCACCACCATCCCATCTGTCTCGTCCGGTAGCCCCTCTGGGAAGTGGTACAGGCATCCCTATACTCGGCTCTCTCCTTCCTGATCTACCAACGGCCCCAACTACTAGAAGGCTCTCCAGCAACAGAGAACACATACATCTCAAAACCAGAGAGACTTGAGTTGGAGTCTCCACGTTGATGTAACTATGACTCTGGGGAAGTGGCTATACCTCTTAGAGATCATGTCTTCCCCTTGTGAAAGGATCTAAAAAGATAGTTAAGTAAGACAACGGTATAAAGCATGAGCGCAGGGTCTGCCAGATGGATGGGTGTTCAGGAATGGGGCCATAGCGAAGGCGGAGGCTTGGTATCCTGAGTACCACGCCGCCTGTTTCTACACATAGTGCCCAGGGTTCTAGCGGGGAGTGAGCCCTGTATAAAAGTGTGTCTCCACTGACCGACTGTGGGGCTCGTAATACAGAGGACAACTTTCTAGGGACATTCCCCCTGTCAATGAGGGCCAGATTCTAGGGTAGGACTGTAGGAGGCTGATGACCCAGGCCCAGTGGGCTTTCTAGGCCTAGGCTGGGTTCTGTGCCTTCCAAGTAGTTTGGTTTTAGGTCCCCAGGCCATGGACAGAGCCCGACAGCCTCTCGATTTCCTGCACCGTAGAGGCCACCCTGGGTAGGGGATGAAGACATGACAACCCTGTGTACTCACCTCGTCAACCTTCGGCTCCGTCACAGGAACCCACTTATAGATCCGTAGGGAGGTGTCGCCAACAGTCACCCATTTCTTCTCCCTGCAGGAAATGAGGAAGAGCCCATAACCGGGGGGGCTTTGGACAGGACGACAGGACTGCTTATGGGTGGAGGTGGCAGAGGTCACAGCTACAAAGAGACGTCTGTGTAGCCCAGGGGCTAAGACAGCAAGCTTGGATCACACAGACACGGCTGGAATCCCAGCTCCGTCCTTGATGGCTGGGGCCCATGGGAATGCCCTTGGCTTTATGTAAGCCTCATCCGGCCTACCCTCCTGGAACGGAGAAAGCAAGCAACAGCCCTACCCTCCTGGCCGCTTCCCTTCACAACAGCACAGGGGCGGAGAAGAGGGTGGGGTGGCCTTGAGAGGTGAGCCGGGCCTTGTGGGGACGGATCCTTTCAGCTGAGGCTCCACATGGACCCCTGATCACCTGGCTTCTAAATTCCCACAGGACAGAACCCAAGTGCCCCGCCGGGAGAGATGGGGATACGGATGAGAAGGAGAAAATGACAGATTGCAAGAGGGGAAGGGGTGACCGGCTTCATCGGGGACGACAATGGCGCCCTCTCCAAGTCACTACCATCTGCCAGACTATTACTATTAGACAGTGTCACCTCCTAATATTCAGAGGCCCTGTACCTGGGGAGGGGGGGATAGGCACAACTTGGGGAGTCACCAGAGGCAGAGGTGGAGTTTAAACCCCAACAGTCCGGGGTCCAGCTTGGCCATCTCAGGGAGGTAGCCCGAAGTTTCAGCAAGTTCAGAAAGGAACCCAGCTGATCCAAGGGACCCACAGGGAAACGAGAGATCAGAGGAAGAGGCATGGCTGCAGTTCCAACGATAACAGTCCCGCTGCTACCTAGGCAATGTGAGGACCTTGGCTTCTCCACCTCGACTTTACCTGTGGTCTTCCCCTCACAGGCTACTGGGACACACAGCAGAGCCCTGTCACTACTGAGGCTCTGGGTAGTGCTGGGGGAGGGGTGCTAACCAAACCCTACACCTCCATCCACAAATTCTGCCCCGTCAGGTCTCCAAGTTCCCAGCTGTCATTGTTCAAGGAGACCATTTCTGGTTGCTCCCACGTGCTAATACACTGATGTTTACATGGTGTCACCTTCCCACTCAACAGATCGAGGAAGTGAGAGACTTGAGGAGGTGAACTCATAACCCCATAGTGAGAATCCAAACCCTCGGCGGCACCACCGGATGGAGGGACGCGCTTTCCAGAGCATCTGTCAGGCCCCGCCCGTGCTCCTTTTAGCAGGGGAAGCATGAAGTGAAGACAGAGGTCTACCTCCATCTCTTTCCTGCCTCCTGGAGTGTACAAGCCACAGGCACCATCTTTCACTCTCTACTCAGGAGGTACCTGGAGGGAGAGGGCCATTCCCAGGAACAACCTCACTGACAAGTAGAGATACAAGCCTGATGGCCACTGTGTACTAGAGGCCAAGCTCTACGACCCCTCTCCTCTCTCTCCTTTCTCTGAGATTACTAAAAGGTAGGAACACATCTTACGGATGAGGAAACAAGCGTTCCGGGAACTTTTACCATGGTCTTGGTCGCACAGACAAAACACGGTAAAATAAAGATTGAATATAGGTTTTGATGCCAGAGTCCACCCTCCGCTATTCTGCTGCCCATGGACAGGAAAAGTCCATTCTAGAGACCACCTGGGGACAGAAGTTTCTAGAATCAAAAGGCCAAAGTCACCCCATCAGTACTCACAAGCCCTTGACTTAGCTTTCTTGGTCTGAGACTTAGTAAATCAACCAATTCAAAGTCGGAGAGTGTTAATTTAATTTTTTTTTTTTAAATAATTAACTTGTAACGCAAAGGCCATAGTTCAGGCTGGAAAGTATGCCAGAGTTCTGGATCTCTCAAGATGACCGGAACCAGGGTGAATGTCTGAAGTTAGCAAGCACTGTAGGCCACCAGCTGCACACTGGTTCCTTCTTCCCGAGCTGATGACCTCTTCACTGGAGTACCAAGGTCACCCCAGAGAGAAAACAGTTTGTAGACTATTGCTAGGTGTGGAAAGTGAGGGGGCTTTGGGACAGAGGCAAGAGTTATGAACTTGACCTTGGGAGCTGGGCATGATGATGTACAATTTTAGCAACCTTAAGTCCCAGCACTTGGGAGGCTGAGGCAAGATGATCGCTAACTCTAGGTCCCAGGTGGCTCTAAGCTACATGGTGAGAGTAATAATAATAATAATAATAATAATAATAATAATAACAACAACAACAACAGGGGCTGGTGAGATGGCTCAATAGGTCACAGGTGAAGGTGCTTGATGACCTGGGTCAGATCTCAGAACCGACATGGTGGAAGGAGATGGCCTACTCCCACAAGCTGTCCTCAGACCTCCACAAGAGGTGCATCATAGAATCTGTGAGGGCTCTCTCCTCCCCCTTATGTGCGAGCACAGACAGAAATAAGTAAAATATAAAAGAATTAAAAAAAAAAAAAACAAAAAACCCAGCACGCTGGAGGCAAGTTCCAGGACAGCCAGGACTACACAGAGAAACCCCATCTCAGGAAAATAAATAAATAAAACAGCAACAAACCAAAAGAAGTAGACACTGACCTTGGGACTGACATTTGACCTCTGCCCTGGGACTTAGCTCTTGGCCTCCTGGGAAGCGGGACAGAGCCCTCACAAAGGCGCTGGCTCAGGGGAGCAGCTGAGATCTCCTATAAGCGCCCCATGCCCGTCAATGGGGGACACACAGCTGGCCGCTCCCATGATGAGGGAACAGGACAGTTCCCATTACCTTGCAGTCAGGGCGGCAAACACATGACCCACAGGCCCGTCGTGTTGGACCTTCCTAGGACTTTTCAAAAGCTGACTCCATTGCCAAAGTAGAAGCAAGAACTAAAGAGAGAGGGAGCCATAAAAACCAGATTTTTGGCCACTCTCAAAACATGATCTGGGGCCCACATGGCCCCTGGAAGCCACAGCGTGCTCCAGATGACACACACTGGCTCCCCTCCCAGCCCCCACCTCTCACCACCTGGAGGCATTCACACGGACCACCAGGCTGCCGCTCAACCTAGTCATGAAACTAACTCCGCACAGAGCCCGAGTCCTCTTGCCTCCATGGCCCCCGAACCAGCTTCCCTCCCCTGTCTACCAGAATCGTGTTCCTGAGATAAAAGGATGAAAGGAAGCCCCAGATGTGGGAATATAGCTCCCAAGTTCTTCCCCAGCTCAGGTTCTTATATAAACTACAAGAGTCCATTTTCAGATAGATTCTCAAGGCCAAGGGAAATTTCCAGGGTTCTACTGGATCTAGGTCCAGTGTGCTCCAGGAGTCCCTGCTGACTCCAGAGAGCTCTAAATCCATCTTTTGACATTCACTACAGGGCTAGTCTTTGTCACCTTGGGAGACTTGTCCTCATCCTAATCAGGAGGGTCTGAGTGTCCCTCAGATGGCCTCTCTCAGGGATGGGTGGAAAGCCTCCAACAAACTGCCCACTGTCTTTATGGCAAGTTGCTAAGGGACCCCTTGAACCAAGAGCAGAAAGGCTCGGGACCGATGTCTACTATGCAGCTCTGATCCCCCTTTGTCTTTTCCACTCGTACACGGGGCCTCCTAAGTCTGGCCCAATTTCCCAAAAAGGGGCCAACCATTTTGTTCTCCTACAGCCATCTTCTGGGCCACCTCACACCCCACCAACCTGCTCTGCTGGGACACCAGGCAGAAAGGAGATGAGAAACAGCTTCCAACTGTGGCTAGGGAGGCCACAGCTCACACAGGCTTCTTCTGCAGGGCAAAGGAAGGGAAAGGCTGGCCAAGAGGGTATGAGGAGAAATACCACCCTAGGCTTTCGGACTGAACAGAATGCCAGGCACCTCAGCTCCCCTCTGGATAAAATACAGAATGACTCGTTGATTTTGAATTTTTCAGATAAACGGATAACTTTCGATATGTGTCGGTATGTGTATTTCATGGAATATACTTAACACAAAGGTGTGAGTGTGTGAGAGTGTGTGTGTGTGTGTGTGTGTGTGTGTGTGTGTGTGTACAGGCCGAAGACAAAACCCAGAGCCCTGCTCATATTAAGTCCAAATTCTACCACTAAAGCATTAATCTCAGCAGAAAACTGCATTTATGTTTGCTTTTTTTGAGAGAAACTTGAATGTAGCCCAGGCTAGCCTTGAATTCACTAGGTAGCTGAGGCTGGCCTTGAACTCCTGATTCTCACAAGTACTGAGATGATAGGCATGCACCACCATACCCAGGGAGAAAGGTTTATTTTTAAAAATCATTTTGCTATTTATCTGAAATTCAAATGTAGTTGGGTGCTGTGTATTTTCATTTGCTAATTCTGGCAACCCCATGTCTCAGCCAGTGGTGAAATGCATGGTTGGTGGCCACAGTTAATAAACAGCCCCGAAGCCTTCAGGGTGGATTGCAAGACTGTTCTACAGACAGGCAAAGACCAGATTCTGCACCTCAAGGAAGCCCCCTCCATTTCTGTTTAAAACGGGGAGTGAAGCAAAACCAAAATTTCTACAGTGTCCACCTCACGTAAGGACATTTACAAGGGTTCCTGTGTACTCCGGTGACGACTCCTGACGGGTCTGTCAGTCCTCAACAGTTCTAGAAGGCGAGGGAGCACCGAATCCCCGGGGTTGCCCGGGTGACAGAACTGAGTTTCTTACTCTGCTCAAGGTCACAGCAAGGAACTGGAGTAGAAACTTAACCAGGAGAGGTCTTTGGAGGTCATGATGTGCTTATTTCCCCTAAAAAAACATAGGAAAGAAGGCAGCCACATCCCCCACTCCAATCCCAGGCTTGGCAGGCTGTGAACCGGCCAGGATGGAAGCCTCCAGGCCTGCTGCTCTGGGGCCCACAGGGTGGAAAGCCCCATCCCTCCATCTGCCCGCCCTGCGGAGCAGCTGGCAGACTCAGCCGCAGCTGTCACAGCTCCAGGACCAGAAAGGCAGCTTACACCGGGCCCTTTCTACCCTCCAGGCGGGTGACAGACAGAAGGGACTCACGCCCTCACATCAGTTCTTTCTATGCACCGGGACTGAGGCAGGGGAGGGGGGGCCACCCCAGCCTTCCCTGGAGAGTCCCACAGGAGAGAGGGTACCGTGTGTTTTCCTCTGTGTTTTGGCCCGCAGCTGTTTCTGCCATTTTTAAATGGCTCCAGTTGGGCACTGGGCGCCTAGCTCAGCAGGGGAGCTCCCGGCACCCAGGACTTGGATCTCAACTTTGGAAAGCCTCCCCTTCTCACGGTTGTGAAAATTCTTTGTCCCATTGGAGCCAAACCCAGCCCACGGCGGGCATCCGGCCATCCGCAGACAGCCCTTTCCATAGGAGGCCCGGGAGCACGTGGACTTTATTGATTTTTCTCCTTGCCTTTTTTTTTGTTGTTGTTTGTTGGGGTTTCACTCTGAAAGGACAGCTAACTTGTGACACCACCAGACCTGAGACAAGCCCCCCCCCCCCCCCGAGTAGTGTTTAAAAAAAAAAAAAAGACAACAACCACCGAGACGTTACTCAAGAAGCGACACCCCCAAAACAAACAGCCTGCAGTGGGGCCTGGCCAGTTCCTATAAAGGGCAGGACCAGCCCGCGGCCGCTGACACTTGGGGACACCCTCGCGGCTGCTCGTCTCCCTCTCAGACCCCGATGCAGCCGTGAGAAAAAAAAAAAAAACAAGCCATAATAAAGTTGAAATCAGGGAGCAGGGAGTTTTCAACAAGTCTGACCCAACCTGGTGGTGGACTCCTGGCGCCTCAGGCCTGGCCTCTGGGGCCGCCTCGGAGTCAAGCTCCCGACGAGGCCCGTGAAAATGTTCCATCCTACTAATGACAACGAGGCCACGCCGGGCACGATCTAATTTGAGCTTGAAAAACACGCACGGCCCACACCGAACCTCGCGGTCCCCCCTCCTCCTCCCCCAGTGCAGAGAACAAAAACAACGGTCGCCCGCTCTCTCCGCCACACCAACACCAGCTCCAAGCTGGGAGAAGGCAGACACGGCCCAGGACTCGGGCTTCTGGCAGCCAGCCTCGCGTCCCCCGCGAGCTCCCGGCCCCCGCGCGGAGCGGGTGGGGAGCCATGGGTGCCCCGCTTCCCAGCCGCGCCGCCGCCGCCGCCGCCGCCGCCACCTTCCCAGCGCTCGCCCCCATCTTCCTTCCTCGCCCGGAGCCCTCGCTCCAGGCTGCCCAAAGCGCTAAATTTAAACGGCTCGCGCTCTGCAAACTCCGCAGACTCGAGGGCGCCGAGGCCTGGGAGGCGGGGAGCTGCGGACGGGTCGGGGCGTGGGGTGTGTGTGTGTGTGTGTGTGTGTTGCAGAGGGGGGGTGGGGGTGGACCCCGGCGCCGCGTCGCCCCGGGAGGAGACCGCGGCCCGCTCCGCGCTGCACAATGGAGCTCGCGCTCTGCCCGCCGCCGGCGGCGGCATCACGGCCCCGGCGCGCGGGAAGCCGCTTTCATGTGACTTGCACAAAAAAAAAAAAAAAAAAAAAAAAAAACCACGAAATGGCTTCTGGGGCCGGCTGCGAACCCCCCTCTCCCGAGCTCCGGGTTGCAGCCGCCGTCGCCGTCGCCGCCGCGGCCACCACCGCCGCCGCCGCCGCCGCGCCAGGTGGGCGACCCCGCGCCAAGCACACCTGGGCAGCGGACGCTGCAGCCCCCGCGGGGGCGCAGGTGACCCCGGGCCGCGCGTCCTCGCCAACTCCGGGCCCGGGGTCGCTGCGCCCCCGCGGCTCTGGGTGCTGGGTCCCGGCTTGCCGGCGGCCGCGACGCGGTGCAGCGAGCGGGGGCGAACGAGCGAGCGAGCGAGCGAGCCGGCGCCTCGGCTTACCATTTGCGCACTTTCTCGATAGCCGCCATGACCCTCTTGATATCATCTTTGGCCCGGCTCCTGGTCTCGGCTCGAACCGACCTGCCCGACATGGTTCTGGCGGGGAGGGAGAGAGAGAGAGAGAGGAGAGAGAGAGAGAGAGAGGCTGGGGGAGCGCGCCCGCCGGGTCCTGCTCGCCACACTCGCCCGCTCTCTCACTCGCGCACAGACACACACTCACACACATACGCGCACACACAAAGCCTGGTGCCGCCGCGCGCCCGGGGCCCAGTGCGCAAGCGCCGGGCGGGCAGCTGCACAGAGCGAGGGGGAGCGGCGCGGCCGCCAGGAGTGCGGCCTCCGGGCGCCGCCGCCCTCCCCGGGGAGCCTCGGGGACCTCGCCCGGGGGACGGGGTGGGGGGCGGGAAACGATCAGGGGTGACCCCGACCTCCCAGCACGCGGGACTGGCCCGCGCGCCGACTCCCCGGCTCGGAGGCCGCAGGTGCGGTGGGGACCCCTCCCCCCCCTCCAAGACACACACACCCTGGGGATGGCAGACTGGAGGCCGTGGGTGCTCCCGGCCTTGGGTTGGTGGCCGCGGGCGCGATCGCGCAAGTTTCTCGTCGGGCGCTTGACTTCTTAGAGTTGGAGGCGGCGGTTCCGGACTCGTGATCTTGGAAAGAGTTGAGGCGCCGGGCTCTGGCCAGCTAGCTAGCTGCCTTGTTGAAATGTGCGAGCTAAGACGTCTGCCTCAACCATGCTTAAACTAGAGTCCTCGTTTAAGGTGCCCGAGCCCGGTGGCAATTGGCATTGTCGCAAGGCTTCCTTTCCCTCGGAGATAAGTTGCCCCAGTCACGGATAGACCTCCCCGGGGTATGTCAGAGGACCACAAATTAATCTGAAACGGCTCCTGGTGGGGGCGCAGTGTACTGACCCGGAGCAGCAGGTAAACTGGACCGGTCCAGCCCAGAAAGACTTTTCGAGAGGCTGACCCCCGCCCCCCCCCCCCCCCCCCCGATCCCAGGACAGAGCTGGGTGGCAGAATCTACCGCGGTCAATCAGGATAGGGACAGGTGGGTGTGCAGCTGCGGCTAAACCCGGCTGGACCAGAGCAAATGCTTGCCCAGGTGGATGCTGGGAAAAGAGATGACCTAATGTGGGCAAGCTAGTGCCTGGAGAGGAACTAGCCCAACACCAGTCATTTCACAGGTGGGGAAACTGAGTCAAGGAAATACTTCCAGGTTGCAGCCAGGAGCTTCATTGATTGTCTTACCAAGCAAATCCCCTGAAGTTCGGGGGCGTTGCGGGGGATTTGGTGGAGAGAGCTAGTGGGAAAATGAGAGTGAGAAATTGGTGGGCTTTTCCCCAGGCGTATCATTTTACACACACGGTCCTGGTGTGAAAAACAAAAATAAAAATAGTCGGGCGTGGTGGCGCACTCCTTTAATCCCAGCGCTTGGGAGGCAGAAGCAGGCAGATCTCTGTGAGTTCAAGGCCAGCCTCCAACTCCAGTAAGGCCAACTCCAGTAAGGAGTTCCAGCCTCTCCAGGAATATATAGTAAGACCCTGTCTCAAAAACAAAAATCAGGGGCTGGAGAGACGGCGCAGCAGTTAAGAGCACTGACTGTTCTTCCAGAAGACCCAGGTTCAATTCCCAGCACCCATGTGGCAGCTCACAACTGTCTGTAACCCCAAGATCTGACCCCCTCACACAGACATACATGCAGGCAAAACACCAACGTACATAAAATAAGAATAAAGAAATTATTTAAAAGAAACAAAAAAAATCAAGCACCCAGGTTGTGGTGGTGTACCTCTTTAATCCCAGCACTTAAGACAGAGGCAGGTGAACCTCTGTGAGTTCGAGGCCAGTCAGGTCTACAGACTGAGTTCCAGAACAGAGAAACCCTGCCTCGAAAAACAAAACAAACAAAAAATTAGAACAATTTATGTCAGAGAACCATTCTGAGGGCTGGATTGGAAAATACGACATAAATCAGAAGTCTCATACTTTTGGCCCTCTGTGCCTGACCATCAGATATGTGCCTGGGCCCCAGGGAATTAATTTTTGTTTAGTGCTAGGTATTGTGCTAGACAAGTGCTATACCACAGTTAATATGGGTATAATTTAAAAATAAAATATATTAAAAATTCCACGTATCAGGTCAGCAAGACGGCTTAGTAAATGCACTTGCAGGTAGGTCTGAAGGCAAGAGTTCGATTCCTAGAATCCACGTTGTAGAAAAGAGAGAACTGGGACTGGAGAGATGGCTCAGAGGTTAAGAACACTGGCTGTTCTTCCAGAGATCCTGGGTTCAATTCCCAGCACCCATACGGTGGCTCACAACCATCTGTAATGAGATCTGGCTCCCTCTTCTGGCCTGCAGGCATACATGCAAATAGAACACTGTATGCATAATAAATAAATAAGTCTTAAAAAAAAAAAAAAAAAAAGAGAGAACTGGGCGGCGGCACACACCTTTAATCCCAGCACTCGGGAGGCAGAGCCAGGCGGATCTCTGTGAGTTCGAGGCCAGCCTGGGCTACAAAGCGAGATCCAGGAAAGGCGCAAAGCTACACAGAGAAACCCTGTCTCGAAAAACCAAAAAAGAAAAAAGAAAAAAGAAAGAACCGACTCCTGAAAATTGTTCTGATTGCCACGTTACACACACACGCACACACACACACACACACACTGAAATGTAAAAAAATTTTAAGTCAAATACCAATTGATGAGTGGATGTCTTTACACGCAGTGGGGTTATTTACCCATGAATAACAAAAGGAATACAAATGGCAAGCTCTGGGATTGATTGAGAGAGCCTGCCTCAATAAATAAAGTAGCTAAAGGATGATTCCCAGCTTCAGCTTCTGGCCTCCATGCGCGTGCACACCCATGTATGTGCGTGTGCACTCATACCGTGCATGTAAACGTGCATACACAACACACATGCTGACCACACAGACTCATAAAAATGGAAAAAAAGGAGAAAAGTGGTCATAACGGTCAGTGCGATGTTACCTGAATTGGACTATCATAAAAACAAATCCAGATTCATTAGAGCCAGCCCAAGTTCTGCAAACTGGGCCCCCCAGGTCACACAGCAGCTGCTGGCGCTGAGCAGTGCTTGCCCTCCAAACGGCTCAGGTGACCATTTGCTCACCCAGCCACCTGACTGACTCACGTCTGTTTGCTGTCTAGACCCTGCAGGTATTTGTGGTTTTGATCCCTGATTAAACCGTAAAGCTTTCTACAAATGTTCTTCTTAAATCTAGTATGTCATTTTTTTTTATAGTTTCCTGTCCCTGCGGATATTTTTAAGCTTCTTTCTTTCAACAAAACCCAGTTGTTTTATAGTAAGTGTCTGAGACACTAATGTTTCCGCTAGGTCTTGCTCATGGTGTTCCAATTCTTTGTTATATGCCTAGCCCTTTTTGACTAGGTCAGACAATATTTTATTTCCTCTCCTTCCTTCTCCCTCCCACCCCATAATCCTCCTCTTCCTCCTTCTCCCTACAGGGTCTCATATAGCCCAGGCTAGCCTTGAACTCACTAAGTAGCTGAGGATTTCCCTGAACTCCTGACCCCTGTACCTTTGCCTCCTATGCCCAGTAGGGCTTAGATTTAATTTTTTGGACTCTTAGCCCACAAAATCATTCACAGTCAAGTTCAAATGTGCCAAAGCTACCACAATAGTAGCAAAACTGATGTTTCCTGGGAATTTTGCTTTTTTTTTTTTTTTTTATGGAGTGGGCTGGGTGTCTCTAGAATTTTGTTCATATGACTGCAGATCCTGGAAGAGCTGTTGCTGCTGGTGATGCCTAACATACTGCTATCATTGATCTTTTTATCCAAACATAAATATATGTGCTTGCACACACACAAATATATATATTGAATTCTTGGAAACTTAGCTGTCAGCTTTGGGAAAAAGTATCCCGATTTACCTGTTGAGTTGGCATTACAGACATGAACAGCCATATTGGTGTAGAAACATTAATTTTTTTTCCCATTTGCACAGATAACACGGTATTAAAAAATGTAAGGTCTTATCTGTGTGGGCTCGATTACAGAAATGAATAGTTTGTAAACAAAAAAGAAACATGCCAAAGCTAACAGGTGTAACAAGTTCGATTCCCTGCTGGAACAGCATCATCCCAGTCTCGGTCTACCTTGTCTTGGCCTTAAGATGGTTCCAAGTACTTTCTTTTTAAATTTTAATTGGCTATTTTATTTAGAAGGGGATATACACACACCATGTTGGTTCTCTCCGGCCACTATGTGGGTTCTGGGGATCAAACCCAGGTTGCCGGGCTTGTTGACAGGTTCCTTTACTTGCTGAGCTGACTTGCTGACTCTCAAATACTTGCTTAGTTTTTCTTTTTCTTTCTTTTTTTGTTTGTTTTTGTTTTGTTTTGTTTTGTTTTTTGAGACAGGGTTTCTCTGTGTAGCTTTGCGCCTTTCCTGGAACTCACTCTGTAGTCCAGGCTGGCCTCGAACTCACAGAGATCCTCCTGGCTCTGCCTCCCGAGTGCTGGGATTAAAGGCGTGTGCCACCACTGCCCCGCTTCTTTTTCTTTTTAGAAACAGGGACTCACTCTATAGCTCAGGCTGGCCTCAAACTTGTGATCTTCCTGTCTTAGTCTACTGAGTATTGGGATGACCCATATGTACCGCTGTGGCTGGATCCTCTTCTTGGTACTTTTGAAGCTTTCAATTCGAGGGTCAATCTAACTATGGACCAGAAACTACCAGTCAAATTCTCCACAAACATTAGTCTCCCAGACAGGTTAAGAGCACAAGATGATCTCAGGGTAACAGAAGTTTGTCACCTCTGGTCTGAGCCTCGTCTTTAAAATGAAGATACACTAACAGCTCTCACCTCAGGGGGTTCTTATGAAGAGGAAACAGTTTATATTTTTTTGTTTGTTTGTTTGGTTGGTTGGTTGGTTTTTCGAGACAGGGTTTCTCTGTGAAACAGTCCTGGCTGTCCTGAAATTCACTCTGTAGACCAGGCTGGCCTTGAACTCACAGAGATCCACCTGCCTCTGCCTCCCGAGTGCTGGGATTAAAGGCGTGCGCCACCACCGCCGCCGGGCTAACAGCTTTGTTTTG